TAATTCTTTTGGCGCTAAAGCCAAAATGGTTTCCCTTGCGTCTTTCATCATCATATTGTTGTCTGCTGCTCGATATAACACAGTGTCAATTAGCCTTGCATGATTCTCCAAACCTCGTCCACTCTTTTCGATACAATCTGCTTCGCCAAATGCGTATTCCATGATTGCTGCCTAATCAGCAAACTCTTCGCATTTCAGAAGCCTCCCTCTTCCTTCGAAAACATGCCAAAGTTTGTAGAGTTTCATCTTATGTAAAAGTCTGCGCTTTTTTCGCCTTCTTGCTTCACCTTTTGACTCGACGATTTCTTCTACTTCATTCTTCATCCGTTTAAAAAGTTTGATGTTCTGATTAACATGATCTCTGGCGCGTCTGAAAGCACGTTATCTTGAACGTTGGCTAGTTTTGCCATAAATGTTGAACTTGTTAACTTTGTTAGAATAGCTTTTAATGTATCTTTGTCTCTTTTAGTGTCAAGGTATTCACAAATTTATTTAGGAGTGGAAATATGTTGCTGCTGTTTAGAAGTTGAAGAGCCGGGCTGCTGGTGAGGAACTGGAGATTTAGAAGGAGTTGAAATATGTTGCTGCTGTTTAGAAGTTGAAGAGCCAGGCTGCTGGTGAGGAACCGGAGATTTAGAAGGAGTTGAAATATGTTGCTGCTGTTTAGAAGTTGAAGAGCCGGGCTGTTGGTGAGGAACCGGAGATTTAGAAGGAGTGGAAATACATTGCTGCTGTTTAGAAGTTGAAGAGCCGGGCTGCTGGTGAGGAAGCAGAGATTTAGAAGGAGTGGAAATATGTTGCTGCTGTTTGGGATCTGAATATTTTAGTTGTTGTTTTGGAGGGAAATATTGCAATTTTTTGTTGCTGCTGAGAAACAGAGGTTTTCTGACGATCGAGCGATTGTTCCGGTTTCATTCCTCTTTTGACTACTTTGGAAAAAGAGGCTGGGTGTTTTTGGATAGGTATCATTGCAATGATAGCAATTATTTCCCAGCTGGGAACCTGCTGCTTTTGTCCACATAATATGCAGTGGCTCTGCTGTAATATATATTGAGGGTTGTCTGTTACAAAACTTTGTTGTGGCATACATATACCACTAATGGCCTTGTTAATTCGCTCACTGCCATGAATGTCAGGGTATGCAGAAAATATTGGCCTATCAATTACCAATGCCAGCACTAAAATAATAAATTGACTGGCAAAGACAAGTGGCTTCGCAGTATCTTTAGCCAAACATTCAATAGCCGAAGACGCGTTATTTGACTCATCATACACTTTTTATGCCAAATCATGGCTCAAAAACATGTGTGTGATTGTTGCTGCTGAGTAACGGAAGTCTCCACAAACTTGTTAATCTGAGGATGAATGCTGTAAAAATGGGAATAAGCAAATAATTCTGCAACTGTTAGCAAACGCAAAATACCAGACAAGCTTTCATTTCCTGCTAACAGAATCGACACAGAATGAAAAAGACAGTTCCCATCAGCGGTAGATGACAACGAGACCCAACTTTTGAAATCGCCAGGTAACAGCTCGGCTGTAACAGGATCTTCACGACGATTGTACACGTTTGGATAAGGAATGTTACTGCCCAACGAATTATGCAACAGCAAAAAATTTTCTAAAATTTCTTTAGCAGCTTCTCTAGATTTTAGAGTTTTCCTTAACTCACTGATTTCAAGATTATTAATAAAAGCCATTGTTTAAATGCTGCAAATAAAATATAGTATATTTGTATTTCAATATTTGTATTACCAAAAGACAGAGGACCTGTAAAAAACGTAAATATACCCTGCGGCTATTTTTACCTAACATGATATACATCATTATTTAAAAACCAAATAGGGATATTACCATTTGCGTTCAAGCTAGTGGCGTGTGGTTTAATTACAGTCAAATCGGGTGTACAGTTCCCCCCTAATGTTACAACATTAATTTAATATTGCCAACAACATTGTTGTTCTCAACAAATTGCAACCGAAAATTGTATGTCCCTCGCAAGTTTAAATAAATTCATTTATAATTCAATATTTTGCTGCCATTTACCGCAAATTGAATACTGCTGCATCTTATATGTAAAATTGCTTAGAGTATATTGTCGGCAATGTTTCAACATTGGGGGTAACCGGGGTGCTTTACCCCTACCCGGAAAAATAAGGAATTTCTATCCAAAAAACATGCTACGAGACTAGTAGTTTGATTTGGTAAATGGTGAACAAGAAGTCCCTTTTGCGTTAATTTCTTTGAATGCTTAAAATGCTTTGTTTTGAAGATCTTGACATCATACATTTCACATACTAGCAAAAGGTTTCAAGGTCCGCCATACTTTAATTCGGCAGCAAACATGGGGTATCACGAGGCAACGTTTTCCTTGTATATGCGCACACAGCAATATTTTTCAACTTTAAATTTCCAGGATATGCATGTGAAATATAAAATAAATTAAATTCTGTTGAAACATACTATAAATGATGGCATGTTTAAGCCCTTGTTCAACTTATTATAGTTACCAACATCTAATTTAGGTTGCAGTCACACTAGCGCTTCTGCTTGCAGATTAGCAAAGGATTAGCATGCTTGCTTCTGACTTCTGTGCTTGCTCATTCCAGGAAGTGCTAGAATGTTAACCCATTAAGTGGCATTGCGCCCCCATGCACCCTGGAATTGGCAAGTGGGTAAGTGGCATTGCGCCCTCATGCGGCCTGAGCGACGCTGTATTTCTATTGGTCAAATATGAAAAACATGCATTGTTTGTTGCCTAACAACTGATACCTATAAAATTCCCCGAATTCGCTCTTTCAAATGAGACCTCGTGCAAGCTTGTACAAGTAATATTGTCCAAGTTACGAGTGTTTTAAACCGTGCTTTTGCGAAAAAAATTGAAATATGGCTGAAGCGCTTCGTATGTTTGATAGTAGCGAAGAAGAAGAAGATTTCAAGGGCTTTTTGATTGACGAAATGGTTGAAGAGACATGGCCAATTGCAGCGGGAACGTCGGCGATTACGTGGCGAGAAATAGCGGGCGAGTCAGACGAAGAAGAAGATTTTTTTGGTTTTTCGGACATCGAAGTAGAAGAGATTGAAAGCAAAAGCAATAGCGAGAGTGATAGTGAGATAAGTAGCGACGATTTTATTGATATTTTTGAATGGAAAGATAATTTAAGTAGTGTAAATGTTGAAGACTTCACTGCCGACTTTGGTCCTTGTCATAGGTTGGGTCAAGATGCTACCCCTAAAGACTTTTTTGACTTGTTTTTCGGCGATGAATTTTTTGACCATGTTGTGCATGCTACTATTTCCTATGCTCGTTCAAAAGGTGACCAAAATTTTTCGACTGACCGCAATGAGATGTCTGCATTTTTTGGATTGAACATTTTAATAGGCATCAACCGCCTACCCAGAATCAGTCTCTACTGGGATTCAGATATATTTTTGGGAAATCCTGGCTTCAAAACTACAATCCCTTTGAGACGGTTTTGGATTTTGAAAAAATATTTGCACATTTCAGACCCGCGGCAAGAAAACGCAACCGATAAACTTACAAAAATTTGGCCCCTGATTTCAAAGCTCGAAAACGCTTTTCAAAATGCTTATGTACCAGGAAAAAATATTTCGATTGATGAAGGTTTGGATACCTACCGATTCGGATACCTACTACGTGCCGCGTTTTCATGTTTACTTAGGTAAACAACAAAAAGATAACGAAAATGATGCGGAAAAGGCGCAAGGTCTCGGTTTCAAAGTCGTTGATTTTCTGGGAAAACCCTACTTTAATGATTACCGACATTTCTTTTTCGATAATTATTTTTCTTCAAGCTCCCTGCTTCAGCATTTGTTGGAAAACAAAACTTACGCATGCTCGACCTTGCGCCACAACAGGAAGAACTTTCCTGTTGATTTTAAAAACATAAAACTCAAGCGAGGTGAAATTAGAACTAGGCAAAATGGTAATTCGGTTTGTTTGGTTTGGCAAGATAAGCGCTTAGTTACGATTCTTTCGACGAATGTGGATCCCGAGCCCCAAGTTTTCGGCCCTTTGGATGAGCGCACTGGAAAAACAAAAGCCGTGCCGGAAGAAGAACGCAAAAAACCCACCGTCATATCTGTTTACAATAAGTATATGAACGGCGTGGACGTAAACGACCAATATAGGAGCTACTACCCTGTCGGATCTCCATCAAAAAAATGGTGGAAGTATTTGACTTATTTTTCCTTAATATTTCAATTGTAAACGCGTATATTCTCCAAAATTTGCAGACTGATCGACGCAATCGGTTGAAACACTTAGGGGCTGTTTACATGAGCCCTACAGGGAGGGCTAGCCCTACCTGTAGGGCTGGTTATCACCTCTGTTTACATGTAAAATTCTAGCTCTGAATCTAGGGCTGGGCCTTCACGCGCGTTTTGGCGCCAAATACAAAATGGCTGTCAACAAAAGAAAACGATTACTGCTTTTCGTTATTTCGGTGCAAATATCTTTACTTTTATTGATGATTTTCCAACAGTATACTTTTTTGCTGCCTTAGAAAATAAATGAGGAAAACCGCAACCGTCAACTTGTGTCATTGCTTCTACGAAAACGCTCATATTTTTTAAGGAAGTTAAAAATAATTAGGCGAAAAGGTTGGCAAGAAGAAAAAGACAATTTTAGTTCAAGCCAGGTAGGACAGACCAATGGTGGGAAAATATTCTTGGACGTAAAATGCTTGATGAACAGTGGGTAAAAAACTTTCGAATGACCTGTGAAGAATTTTTCGAACTTGTTCATGAGCTTCGGCCATATATCTCCCCCGAAGAGTCATCACCGAACTACAGAGCCTTAACAGCTGAAAAAAGGCTGGCTGTTGCTCTGTATTACCTCAAAGATACTGGGTCTTTGGTCATGACGGCAAATACATTTGGCGATATGTACAGCTTCAAACATTATTTTTCAAGTATGCCAGACAATCTCAAATGTTCTTGGACCAAAGTATATTAGCTTACCCAAAACCACCTGTGAGATGAGACAGAAAGTGTCTGAATTTGAGGCAAAGTTTGGAATGCCGCAGGCATTTGGATGCATAGACGGTACCCATATTCCTATAAAACGGCCAAGAAAAAACTCACAAGACTATTTTTCATACAAAGGGTTCTTTTCTCTGAACGCTCAAGCTGTATGCGATTATCGTGGTGTGTTTATGGATGTAGAATGTCGTTGGCCAGGTAGTGTACACGACGCAAAAGTGTTTGCGAATTCCTCAGTGAATCACAAACTCCGAGAAGAAAAGCTACCTAAAACATTTCAGACAATAATCCCTGGCTTTGAAAAGATTCCAAATTATTTAATAGGAGATCCTGCCTATCCGCTCACCCCATACTGCATGAAGGAGCATGAAACATGCAATAGAAATGCTGAAGTTGTATTTAATGGACTTCTTTGTTCAGCTCGCAATCCAATAGAATGTGCCTTTGGTAGACTTAAAGCCCGCTGGTCTATACTAACTCGCAGTATTGATTTAAAGCTTGAATCCATACCACATGTGGTTTACTCTTGTTTTGTTCTACACAATTACTGTGAGCAGAACAAGAGTTATGTTGATGATGACATAGTCAGAAACCAAATACAGCTATCCATGGACAATTAACAGGCTTACAAAAATGTGCCAGATCCAATATATTCATGCAATGCAGGGGAAGGTGAACTTATTCGAAGAATCATAACAGAAAATATTCAGGACAATCTTCCTGATGCAGTGTCAGGTTAAGTTAGCATACACATTACCAACACTTAGGGTACAGTTCTATGTCAAATATATTTGCATAGAGTAAATAACTTTAATGTAACAACGCAAATAGAATATCCTATTGTTATACAAACTATTATCTTTCTAATATATTGTTTGTTATATACTATAAAAGTTGAAACAGATGTTAATGATTTTGAAACAAATCATCAAAATGTGAAGATGGAATAAAAACGTTGACAAAATATAACAATAACAGCAGAATTTTGTGACAATACATAAGTAAAATGGGCCTTGCTAAAATCCAGTTCTTTCATGAAGCAAATAAACAACAGTGATGTCAAAGGACTAATACAAAATAAAATAATCATAGTGTTATACCTTTGTCAACTTCCCTTCCTAAGACAGCTTTGTTATGAACATTAATAATGCTTAAAACACATGATGCTTAACACAAATGAAACAAATTGTCTAAATATGAAAAGGTTTACCATCCATTTTTAAGTGAGTCACATAGCATGAAATCTTGGATCATTATTCTCTTGATCTGTTGGCAAGGCATTGCCATGGGCATACCCAACTGGAGTAGTAGATAGTCCACTGGAAAAATGGTTACCAAAAATGCTCTCATTTGGTTGCTGATAGTAGACATTTTGACGTTGGGGCTGGGAATCCTGCATGGCATGTGCTAAACTGTCCAATGACCTGCACAATCCTGCCCCAATTTGGATCATTGTTTGACTGACACCTTCCAATGCTCTGGAAAACGAGACAGTGGAATTTTGCATTGCTTCTGCCAAATCCTTACGAAACTTGGAATCTTCCTTTGCCTCAGTTAGTAATAACTGATCTCTTTGTGAAGCAGCCAAACTCTTCTCCATATGCTTTCGCTTGTTGTCTATGAGTTTTGGCACCTGACTCACACTGTTTCTTTTCCCAACCGTATGTATAGAATCTCCTTCAATCTCGTTGATTGTAGTGATTTCATCATTATGATCATCTATGATACCACCATCATCACTCTTGTCATCTCTTTGTTCATCTTCAATATACCGGTTATCTAAATCTTTCTCTCCAGCCTCTCCTTGTTGATCTGGAATAAAACTGTTGGCATCTACCCCAAAGGAGAGAAATTATTGGCATACCAATAAAGAATTTATTGCTTCCTGCACTTGAGACTTTATAATAAAGTAGATTAAATACTTTAGTTTGACGCGCAGGTAATTTCCCTGGAATTCTGATGACATATAGGTAACGTGTGGGAAAGCGGAGATGAGGGTCAGTATAGATAAAGAGCAGAATGTGCTGCCAATTCATTCTGCTCCTCGCTTCGACAAGGTCATTACAGATCAAATTTGAATTTTTTGACACCTCTTTGAACAGGTAACTATCTCTATATTTATTCTTATTAGAAATAATTTAGAATGTCTTTTGGCTTTCCCAATATTTTAATTTTGGGTCATTATTTTGTCCGTCGCTTACGGGATGATTTAAAGGCTAATTTCGATTCCCGTGCATCCCAAAATTTCCATATTCCCGAATCGGGTTATGTCACTATGCTGGGTACAGGTGGCCGGACAGTTGAAAAAGTTATTCAATTCGATCTTTCTTCTGTCCGATCTGCCAAACCTGACATTATAATTCTCGAGTTGGGCACAAATGATCTAACTACACATGCCCCTGAGGTAGTAGGATCGAGGCTTGAAGAGCTCGCTCGCCAACTTCGCAACGAATTTCATGTTCGCGTCATTGGGGTGTGCCAGGTGATTGACCGCAACATCGCAAAACGCGGGAATCTGATAGTGTTTTTAACACCAAGGCCGCTCTTTTGCGCCAGTATTTGTCCGTGGTTCTTGCAGAGGAGCAGGGTATTTTTCTATGGGAACATCGGGAATTTTTCAATCCCGCCCGTGTTCTGTTATCCACAGACGGCGTTCATTGTAACACGCAAGGGCAATATTGTTTGTATAGGAGCTATCGCGGGGCTATTTTGAAAGCTCTGGCACTGTTGTAGTTCATTTATCGTGTATATATTATGCATATATTATATTATATATGTGTGTATATGTTTTGAAGGTAGAGTTACTGTCTAGACTATTTATGACATCAAGCCAAGCCTCATCTTGATTGATGGAGTGCAAGATGTGTGCCTTCCACGCTTCAACATTTTTCTTAGACTGGGTCACAACAAACTTCATTTCTTCTTTGTCTTCAAGAGGAATATGACCACTTTCAAGCTGCAACTCCACATCCTGGACAGCAGTTGGAAACAGGGAACATTGATCACAAGCTAAGTCGTGTTGATGGCTGCAGGTAGCAGTAAATTTGCAATCATTAGCATTACTGAGGGCATAGGCTCTACAATGGTCGGGAACTCTTGAAGCTGATGATACATGAACCTAATGGTGGGGAAAATAATGATCAAGTACTGCATAGTTATTAATAAAAATGATCAGAAAACCTTTAATATCACTCAGGCTGAATATAGGGCCATCCCTGAATTGGATGTAATAGGGCGTTTAGAAATGAGTTTGTGGCTGGCGGTTTGTACTAGGTTTGTACCAGGTACCATAGGTTATTTTGCCAGGTATTCATCTTGCCATATTGGAAACATACATCAGTGCAAGCAACTTACCTTGTAATCACTTCTTAGGTAACGTTTTGCCAGTTTTTTCTTCTTACTGCACTCCTTGGACCAGGTCAGCCCAAGCCCATAGACATCACCCAGCTTACTCACAATGGCAATGAGATCATCAAATGACTTGTTTCCTTCAGCTGAAAAGTAGTCAAGTCCTTGAAGAGAGGTACGAGTTGATGCAGAACAAACAGTCCGTATTCTGCACAAGGTACTCTTGCTCAAAGGGGAACTGAATCTAGTCTCAATACAATAACTCAAGTACTGCATAATGATTTGCTCTGGGATGGAGTTACGAATCACATTTGGAATCACTATTTCTGTGTTGGTCAGTTTCAATGTTTTTTTCACCAAAAGGTAAATCTTGTACAACACTTGAACTTGTAATAAATGCCAAGAAATGGTGGAGCTTTTCTACTGGCGCTTTAATCCTGCTAATTTTTCCCAAGGGATGTCAGCATGTCTTCCATGTAGTAGCAAATGATGCCTTGACATGTTATAACAATAGTGTGTTATATCTGGAATCCACTGTTGGATGCTTTTGAAACTGACCTTGTCTGCAAAGATTGATAGAATTTGTCTTTGAGTACTCCAATCACCAGCATTCTCATAACATGTTGCCAATGCTTCTAGTAGAATGCTATCAGTACTTTCATCTTCATCTTGTGGAGGTTCTTTGATGGCATTGAACAATGTCTCAGCTTTGTTGGGAGCTGGTTCATTAAGAGCAGCAAAGAGGACTTGCTTGGCTTTCCTTGCATAGTGTCTTTGTGTGCGTGCTGAAGCTTCACTCCATTGCTTTGTCATTGATGTACAAATTGGGCTAATGTCTCTGGTGATAAGAAATTAATTTAGCTTATCCCTTGGAGTAGATTGCAAATTCAGCTGTTCAGAACTGCTTATTGTCATGTCAATTGCTTCAGTCATACCAGGTGTAAATGGGGTTGGTGGTACACTGATTGGTGTCAAAGGGTCCTCTCACTAATAGAAACATCAGGAGCATCATCCTACAGAAAAAAAAATTATTTGCAATTTGAGATTGAACCATAGACTACGGACAAGCATCTGGACAAACTGGTATGAAAGATGACATCAGCTCAACTCTTTGAATGTGTGACCTAATTACAGCTGAGCACATAATAGATAATAATTTTCATACATTGCTACACCACTGCAGACAACTGTAATTGTCATGTACCTGTATGGATTCTGATAGGAGCTGCATTTCTAAAGTAGCCACCTCATTGGTTGTGAGCGCTTTTACTTTGTCTCGACATGATCTGCATATCTCTGATAAAAGAAGGAAAGAAGATATTTGTGTATACAGAATGACTGTTCTGAATATTACTTAATTGAAGTATACTGTTTCACTGTAACCACAGTCAATAACTCACCAGTCCCAGCCTGAAGAAACACACCAGTCTCTTGAAAAATGGCTTGTGAGTTTTTTTACTGAGGCCTCTGTCGCCCTTTGGCCAATTCTGCTTAACATTTTTTCCATGGTTCGATAGCACAGCTGGGACTCTACATCTGCTTGAACCTCTTGTCCATCCAATGCCAAGTTTCCCATGATGCAGAGGACAAATTGTCATACTTACTGTGGAATCTGGTGTTTGAAAGATTCCTGCCCAACATAATATTAGTTCCACTTCGGTTTGTGGACCAGAAAATGAAAAAATGATCCGCAATATCTTTTGCGTAAGATGTTAGTGGCACTACTTGAACTTCGCGACTTCAATCTCTGCTGTCAAAACCACAGTTTCCTTCTATAGACTTTAACGAGCAACAAAGCTCCATAGGTGTATAAGATAAACCGTGACTGGCATTTGAGAAAATAATATTGTAGTGCATGTCAGTAATCCAACACCTTACACGGCTTTATTAAATACTTCGATGAACCATGCAAGAGGGTGACGAAAAGGTGAGAATTTTGAAGCTGCGTTTTGAATGGAATGAATCTTTGACTTCGTGCTATTACATAAGAGCATTTCAATTTGTGATTTTGCTTTATATATATCATGTTGACATGTAATAATTTTCCAATTTTGTAAGTGCTTAGCCCAAGCTGTCAATAAATATAGAAGATAGAACAACTTGTTGGCAAGTTATAACAAGTTGTATAATCTCCATCAGATTTCTATTCATTTTACCAAATTTAATGAACAAAATACTTTTTCACTGTAGGTTTCTTCCTGTTGTTGCCTATAGACAGTTTACCTGCATGGTAAATTTATTAAAGGACAGACATATACCACTCAAAATATCA